AACAAAAGCTTCTCTTAAGAAATCAGCACAACTTACATCAGGGAGGAAGAAAGGGTCGTTTTGGAGAAGCAGGACTCGCAGCTCATTCTCATCAAGGCCAGACAACTCATGAGCCTTTAGAACTTTTTTGTTCTCAGCATTGATGATGTCGTGTGAGTACTTACACAATCTGCAAGAAAATACACAGAAATATTAATGTTTACTATTTCAGTCACATTGATTTAAAGAAGAATCTCAGATAACACTGAGCTTGGGAAAAGTCATGGAGAGAAAGGCAGTTTGGCAAAAGTCTCTGTGAACATTTAAATGGTCTCTGTAATTAGCTGCAGAATGGGCCAAACAGCATAATAACTCTGTGAAATACAGTAGCATTATTATCCCCATTTTAAACATCGACGGGGCCAGACCACTTCTAAGAAAGCTAGCAGCACAGATTTGAAGGCAAGCCTGTCTACCCCACACTTCCTTCAACTCCATAAGAAGTAAGTCAAGTAAGACGATCTGAATAGCTGGAAGGAAAGGTCATTTTAGAGGAATACATCAACAACAGTGGAAGTTGCAAACCTTTGATTTTGTGAATGTAAAAGGTTGCTGTCCCAGGGATAGCATGTAAAGAAAGATGCAAAAGTCTGAGAGTGCAAAACAAAGAGATAATGAAGCTGAAAACAACACAATTTGTTATCTTTGCTGGCTGGGAAGTTTAAAAAAAAAATCTGCGTTTCAAATAAAGAAGCTATTAAAGGAAAATAACAAAGATGCTGGTGCCACTTACTAACCCAAGAGAAATATCTGAAGTGAGTATGAACTACAGAGAAAGACTGCCTCTTTTTTTGCATCTGTTTGAACAGATACTGCAAATCAATAATAAGAGAAACTCATGCATTAATTCAGTGCAGTATAATACAGCTTCCTTATATCTTGCTCTTCAAAACCACGATTTGATACAGCCTTAAGACTAGACATACTCCACCAATAAAAGTACCTGTTAATCTATCAGACTCAAGTCTCTGTTCCCTTTATCCTTTTAGCCTCTAGTTTACTCCTGAAACTCTCCTCATGAGAGCTTTTTTCCTCATGCTGTGTCTGATCCAATCCTTCTGTACAGACCCTTTTGCAGACATTTTGCCCCTGATAGCTGCTACCTGCTGGACACAGTGCTTTCTAAGCAAGTAAACAAGAACATGAAGTCTGGAAGGCAGAAGTGTGCCATGTTTCCTGAGAAACAATCTTCTAAGGATACTAGATTTTGTAGACACTCAATTAACAGCTATGAAGGCAGGAGAGCTATGGAGTATTTGAGGTGGGAGCCACCACCAGCAGTCCTCCAGTTAACTTCAGATTCCACCAACAGTCACATGGTGGTCTACATCACTTAAGTACGTATTTCAAAGTCAGAGTTGAAACAGTCCACAAATACAGTGATAAGCAATGAGCCGAGTTTAACAACACATTCAGAAAAAAAGCAGTGAAAAGTTACTTGCCAGACACAAGTTAAAAACAGGTTTAACTGGACTGAAATCCTGATTCCACTAAATAGGAAGACCCCGGTAACTTGCACAGACATTTTTCTTTCCAAAAAAATCTAAACCAAAAAGGATGCACTATCTGGAAGGAAGGCTAGTGTCAGGGTTTAACCCCAGTTGGCAACAAAGCGCCACACAGCTGCTCGTTCACCTTCCCCTCCCACCCCTGTTGGGATAGGGGAGAGAATCGGAAGGGCAAAAGTAAGAAAACTTGTGGGTTGAGATAAGAACAATTTAATGATTGAAATAAAATAAAATAAAAATAAGAAAAATAAATTGTAACGACAAGGAAAACAACAAAAAAAAGAGAGAGCAACAAAACCCAGGAAAAACAAGTGATGCAACCACTCATCACCCACTGACCAATGTCCAACCTGTCCTTAAGCAGCAATCGCTGCCCGCCAGGCAACTCCCCCCAGCTTCTATACCGAGCATGCTGTCATATGGTATGGAATAGCCCTTTGGTCAGTTTGGGTCAGTGGTCCCGGCTATGCTCCCTCCCAGCTTCTTGTGCACCTCCTCGCTGGCAGAGCATGGGAAGCTGAAAAGTCCTTGGCTAATGTAAGCACTGCTCAGCAACACCTAAAACATCAGTGAGTTATCAACATTCTTCTCACCCTAAATCCAAAACACAGTGCTATACCAGCTACTAGGAGGAAAATTAACTCTATCCCAGCCAAAACCAGGAGAGCTAGATTTTTACCTTGCCTGTTAAAAAATACTCTCTGTCTTGATCCTTGCGGTCCACCTAGCAAGATTTCTGCCCCCTCATTTTAAATCAACCTCCCTCCCACAAAAGGCATACTTTTCTTTTTATTAATTATTAATGCACACAAAGGTGATTTTAAAGACTTAGTGCTATTGAGAAGACAGAATGGTTTGCCATTACAAAGGGAATCACCTTGTTGCACGTTCTAGTTCACACAGAGTCATCCAGCGCCAGGGCCTACATACACTTGAAGGTATTTCTACCAGTGAATCACGTGGAAGCTTACCGCGCTGTCAGTAACGCAAGAAACAGTATGAATGGCATCCTAATGCTTTACTGGTACCGTTCTGAAGTAGACATGGCCTTTCCCCTCCATCCTCCTCGGATCCAAGCACGTAACGAGCTATTTTGCTGGAGTAGAAAAGGAAGAATCTGGTGGGGTACCAGCATATTGCTAACACTGCAACAGCGCAAGACCTGGGGCCTGGGAGCTTACACAGGAAGTTCTTCCATCAGAGCTCACTCTTGCCACTGTCGCTGAAAAGCTTCTGGGTTTCAATTCTGCATTTGTTTGTGTTTTCCTTTACTGTTATTTATTTTTTTAAACTAGGTACCACCTTTGGCCCGCCTGTGCCTCGAGAGGCTGCTGGGCCTACCCTTCCTGCAAGTCCTCCGTACCTCCAGAAAACGGGACCCATGTACATGGGAAGTCAAACACTGCCTCTCACAGAAAGGGCTGTAAGCGGAGCGGTGACTTACAGCAAAATTAAGCGCTCATAACTTTCTGGATTAAAACCAGACAGCACGCCAGCCCTTTCCTTTTTCTTCCTAGAGCAGTATTTGTGAACTATTTCATCCAGACGCCAGTGGGCTGAGGGAGGGCTGTGGCGGATGAGCGGCTTTAACAAAAAAAAAATCGTAATACTGACAAAGAAAAACAGGCTTCAGAAAACCGCAACCTACCGCGGTCACTTCGGGCTTTTACCAAACCCGCGAGAACCGCCAAGGAGTCCTTCGCGAGCAAGAAAGGCCCGGTACGAGGCTGTACCCGAGGTGTGCGGGGGGGTCGGGTCTCTCCTCCCGCAGGGAGAGCGGGGCAGACGGGGCCGGGGCAGACGGGGCACC